AAAAAAAAAAAAAAAAAAATACAGCAGTCATGCATGGCTTAAAGACGGAATATGTTCTGAGTCATGCGAAGTCAGAGTGTACTTACACAAAACTACAGTCAATTGCACGCCTAGGCTACATAGTACTGCCTATTGCTCCTGTGCTACACACCTGTACAGACTGTGACTATGCGGAAGACAAGGCAACTGTAACACAACGATGAATATTTGTGTACCTAAACATAAAAATCATACAGCAAAAATACAGAACTATAATCTTACGAACTTATGGACCATCATTGTAAATGACGTCTGCAGTTGTCCAAAACGTCCGTATGGATGCAGGGCCGGTAAATGTGTAAGAATTCCTACTCACTGCCCCTCAGCTCTCCCTAGCACAAGACCGGACCGGGCTAGGCCTCAGCCGACCTGCCCAGTGCTGGGAGGAGCCTGCCGCAGGTGCCCCGCGCGGGGAAAAAAAAACGAGACTGCGCAAGAGGATCAGCATTTCTTTTTGTTGTGGTTGTCATTCTTGTTTAGCAAGCCCGGTGGGCTCGAACTCACCAGCCTCGGGGTATGTAGCTGGCGCCCTACTCACTGAGCTACCGGCGCCGAGCCCAGATAGGTATTTCTGAGCGCCGCCACAAGTGTGTGAACACGTCTGCAGCCGACCCCAAAATCCGGGCCGCGAGGTAACCCCAGGAGCAACTGACATAGTGGAATGGGCGCCACGAAGATTAAATTCGGTTATGAAAACGCCATCAGAGACGCCGCTGCTCGGTTGGACGGGAAACTAACCCCAATCCTGCAGCCCTGTTAGCGCGCCCCTGAAGGCCCCGAGCCCTGAGCACCAAGGTTTTCCAGCATCCTATACCGCCTGGCCACGGGCGCCTGCGCCCCCTCCCGGAAGTCCTCCTTGTGGGACTCTCTCCCGGAAGTCCTCCCCCGCGGACTTTGCGCCGCTCTAGCCTGTACGGATCCTCCTAGCTGATGCTCTCGGCCGCGCTTCGCCACCCTCAGGGTGCGCGCGCAGCAGTGGCGGCAGTTCGATTGCTCCCGTGCGCGGTCCCGCTCCCTGCCCGCGTTCCCTCGGCAACCAAGCAGGCCTTGGGGATCCACCGCCATGGACGAGCCGCCTGGTCTGGAGTCTCGCAGGGCTCGCGGCTGCCTGGGTGCGGCCGGGCCGAAGACCTCGGGTCGCACGGCGGGGGCGCCGGCGGCGGCCTGGACGCGCTTCTCCGCCTGGTTGGAGTGCGTGTGCGTGGTCACCTTCGACCTGGAGCTGGGCCAGGCTCTGGAGGTGAGCGGGCGGGAGAGCGGGAGGGCCGCCCGCCGCGGCCACCGGCGCCACCACCTCTCGCGCCCTCAGCGCAGGTCGCCCCCCAAGCCTGCCCATGAACACGGCGCCACCTGCCCGGGCCCTGCCCTGCGCCCGAGAAAGTGCCCCGGCGGGAGAGGGAGTGCTGCGCCTGTTTGTCTTTACACTGGAAAGAGGAGACAGGGTCTTTGCACTTTACATAACCAGAGTGGTACTCTATTCCTCTCTCTCTCTCTCTCTTTTTTTTTTTTTAAAGACAGGGTCTTGCCCTGTCGCCCAGCCTGGAGTGCAGTAATAACGGTCAGAGTTCACTCTGGGCCTCAGCGATTTTCCGGCCTGTGCCTTTCAAAACGCTAAGATTACAGGCGTGAGCCACCCGGCTGGCCTTGATTTTTCCTAATAGGTATTCGTCACATTCCCACCCCACCTCCATCCCTTCGATTGCTGGGTGCTCTGACCAGAGACCTTTGGGTCCCCTTGACTCCTCCCCTCTCCATCCCATCCCTGGGCAAGGCTGACAGCTCCTCTTGCAACAGAGATCTCAGATCCTTTGTCTTTGCTGCCATCACCAGTGTTACCACCTAACTAATTGCACCCCAGAGTTCATCCTTTGTGCTTCTCCTCCTTAAAATCCTGCAGTTTCTCCTTGTTCACCTAGAATCAGATCCAGACTCCAAGGCCCCCTGCTTGGCCCCTCTACCCTGTCTTCTGGCATTCGTGCCCTTAGGAATCTGTTCACACCAGATGTGCCCAGCTTGGCCTGGCCTGGAGCCTTGTATGTGGTTTTCCTACTGCCTGCAACCCTCCACCCACACAGGCAGCTTCTCTTCCTCCAAGTGTATGTGAAAATGCCGCAGACTCAAGGAGCCCTTCTCTATGCCTTGAAAGGCCATGACACAGGTCAGGGAGCTGACCTGCAAGTAGAGGGGGCTGGGAGGAGGGCTGCATTGTCAAGAGTCTCTCATAACTGCAGGTGGCAAGATGAGGCTGAAGAGTTATCATCAAGAATGCTAGTGTAGGGCGGCGCCTGTGGCTCAGTGAGTAGGTACCAGCTCCATATACTAAGGGTGGCGGGTTCAAACCCTGCCTCAGCCAAATTGCAACAAAAAATAGCTGGGTGTTGTGGCAGGCACCTGTAGTCCCAGCTACATGGGAGGCTGAGGCAAGAGAATCGCTTAAGCCCAAGAGCTGGAGGTTGCTGTGAGCTGTGATGCCATGGCACTCTACCAAGGGCAACAAAGTGAGACTCTGTCTCTAAAGAAAAAAAAGAAAGCTAGTGCAGGCTCAGCGCCAGCCACATACACTGGAGCTGGCAGGTTCGAATCCAACCCGGGCCTGCCAAACAACAATAACTACAACCAAAAAATAGCCAGGCGTTGTGGAGGGCACCTGTGGTCCCAGCTACTTGGGAAGCTGAGGCAAGAGAATTGCTTAAGCCCAGGAGTTGGAGGTGGCTATGAGCTGTGATGCCAGAGCACCCTACCCAGGGCAACAGCTTGAGGCTCTGTCTAAAAAAAAAAAAAAAAAAGATGCTTTCTAAGGCCCCACTCAACCCAGGAAGGCTGTGAGAAGTCTAAGGTCTTCTAAACAGAAAAAGTATAATTCTTTTTTTTTTTTGTAGAGACAAAGTCTCACTTTATCACCCTCAGTAGAGTGCCATGGCGTCACACAGCTCACAGCAACTTCCAACTCCTGGGCTTAGGCTATACAGCCTCACCCACTACAATGCCCGGCTATATTTTTTGTTGCAATTTGGCCGGGGCTGGGTTTGAACCTACCACCCTTGGTATATGGGGCCAGCGCCCTATCCACTGAGCCACAGGCGCCACCCAGAAAAGTAATTATTTTTTTTTTTGGCCGGGGCTGGGTTTGAACCTGCCACTTCCGGCATATGGGGCTGGCTCCCTACTCCTTTGAACCACGAACCACAGGCACTGCCCCAGAAAAGTAATTCTTATTGAGGACTCCTGGCACTGTGCCCAGCCCTCTCGGGGCAGGCTCATCCCACTACACACCATCCTTACCAGGTACACTGCTGCAAACAGCACCACTTGAGTGGAGGGGCTGAGTACAGAGAGGCAAAGTGATTTGCCCAAGGTCACAGAGCCCACTTTCTTACTTTAGTACTATTCCCAAAATGTTCCTCATAAAATCACAAGAGAGCTAGGAACATACCTGTAATCTTAGCACTTTGGGATAACAAGACAGAATTGCTTGAGGCTAGGAGATTGAGGCTTCTCTCAGCTATGATCACACCACCACACTCCAACCTGGGCAACAGAGTAAGACCCTGTCTCAGAAAACAAGCAAACTTTGGCTCGGCGCCTGTGGCTCAAGCAGCTAAGGTGCCAGCCACATACACCTAAGCTGGCAGGTTCAAATCCAGCCAGGCCTGCCAAAACGACAATGACAGCTGCAACCAAAAAATAGCCAGGCGTTGTGGCAGGCGCCTGTAGTCCCAGCTACTTGGGAGGCGGAGGCAAGAGAATTGCTTGAGCCCGGGAGTTGGAGATTGCTGTGAGCTGTGATATCACAGCACTCTACTCAGGGCAATAGCTTGAGGCTCTGTCTCAAAACAAACAAAACCCAGAGAAGTCAAGATGTTCTGATTCCTTAAGGCATTCTCATGTATAGTTTTCTAAAACTTAATCATTCAAGGATTGCTTCAGCTCAGGATTTCAAGACCAGCCTGAGCCAGAGTAAGACCTCATCTCTACCAAAAATAGATAAAACTAGGTGGGTATCCTGGTGTGAGGCAAGAGGATCGCTTGAGCCCTAGAGTTTGAGGTTGCTGTGAGCTATGATGATGCTGCAGCAGCATACCCAGGGCAACAGAGTGAGATTCTGCCTTAAAAATAAAATAAAATTAGAAAGTTTTCTTTGGGAGGTGCCTGTGGCTCATTGGGTAGGGCACCAGCCCCATATACCGAGGATGGCGGGTTCAAACCCAGCCAAATTGCAACAGAAAAAATACCGGGGCATTGTGGTGGACACTTGTAGTCCGAGCTACTTGGGGAGCTGACTAAGTCCTTGACATTATGCCCAGCTAATTTTTCTTTCTTTCTTTCTTTCTTTCTTTTTTTTTTTTTGTAGAAATAGGCTTTCATTATGTTGCCTAGGGTGGTCCTTAACTTCTGGCCTCAAGTGTTCCTTCCACCTTGGCCTCCCAAAGTGCTGAGATTATAGGCATGAGCTACTGCACCTAGCCAATAAATCAAGTATTGAGCAGTTATCATCAGCCAGGCCCCACAGAACTAGGACCCAGTATAGGAAACATGGAAATAAACCAGAAGACAAGGCTCTTGCCCTTTAAGAGTTCATACTTTGTGCTAGAGACACAGAGAGTAAGTGGTCCAGCCCTCACAAGAATCCTCCAGGCTTCACAAAACCCCCAGCCCTTACAGGACCCACTAGTACTGGACTTGTCAGGTGGGTCCTATGCAATGGGAGCACTGGAGCCTCTGTACACGGCAAAGGCTCCAGCCTAAGAGAGAAGTAGGCAGGGTCATGGGGAGCAACCAGAACGCACAGGTAAGCCTAGGAAAGGGCCTGGCTCTGCCATCTCAGCTCTTGAAAACTCACCTGTCAGTATCCTGACTCAATATCCCTGGAGGTCTCTAGGGTGACCAGTGGCTGCAATGCCTAAAGAGCTCCACAGCAGCACCCACACTCTCCCAGGAAGCAGTTCCCATTCTGTGCAGTCTCAAGACCCCTTTACAGTTTGTTATTGAGGCCCCTAAAAAGCCTTTTGTTTGGGCAGTGCTCATAGCTCAGTGGGTAGGGTGCCGGCCACATACACTGAAACTGGTGGTTCAAACCCAGCCCAGGCCAGCTAAACAATGACAACTGCGACAAAAAAACAGCCGGGAGCTATGGTGGGCACCTGTCATCCCAGCTACTTGGGAAGCTGAGGCAGGAGAATCACTTAAGCCCAAGAGTTTGAGGTTGCTGTGAGCTGTGATGCTATATAGGGTGATATAGTGAGACTCTCTCAAAAAATAAAAGGCTTTTGTTTGTATGTGTTATATCTATTAATGTTTAATATATTATACCAGAAATTAAAACTGAAGAGATTAGCCAGGCATGGTGATGTGTGCCTATAGACCCAGCTGCTCAAGAAGCTGAGGTAGGAGGATCACCTCAGCCCAGGAGTTGTAGGCATCAGAGAATTGTAATCATGTCACTGCACTCCAGTGTGGGTGAGAATGAGACCTTGTGTCAAATAACTTTTAACACTTGAGGACATTTTAAAATATTTTATTCATCTAAAAAACAAAAACCACTATGTATTAGTACAAATAACATTTTGGGGTTGGTTTTTTTTTTTTTTACAGTTTTTTGGCCAGGGCTGTGTTTGAACCTGTCACCCTCAGCATATGGGGCCAGCGCCCTACTCCTTGAATCACAGGCACTGCCCTAAATAACATTTTTTATAAGAAACAACCTTTTCTGAACAAAAGTTCACATTTATTCAGGGAAGACCAGGTTAATAGGAGCAGCAACCTGCGTAGGCTAGTGCAGGGGAAAAAGACAGAGCCTCATGTGACCCTAGAAGGGTATGGTCTGACCTGAAACTCCTTGCTCTGAGGGTCAGCTTCGTTTGGACTCTCACTATGGTGTGGCCCACCCTGGTTGGCCTGACCTCTGGCTTAGTCTCTAGGCTGCACCCAGCCTCTAGGCTACACCCAGAGCCACTTTCCAAAGAGGATGAGCTGGCCTTTGAATGTGGATTTCCCTGGAGAGGTGTTCTAGAGGGGCCCTGGGCATGGCATTAGAGCCCAGAGGTTGACATGGCCTGCCCAGATGCTGTCAGACTCCCATGACTGCCAGGCCAGGCATAGACACCTGACCTTAAGCAGAGAACCTGTCATGGCCCTGCCCCAGGTGCCAGGCAGCCACCTTTCTTCAGCCCTCCTCTTAGTGCAGACACTTGAGGCTCAGCCCCTCATAGAGCTATCCCAAGGCACCCCTGTGGGTCTAGCCCCACAGATCACTTTCCACCCCTTCTGGCTCCCTCTCCTGCCTGAGCCAGCTGACAGTTCCAACCTGGCTTCCCTCTCCTTGTGTTAAGGATTCCAGCCTTGCCTGCATATCCTACTGTACTTCCGCTTCCTAGATACAGATACGTCTTCACACAGCCCCCAAAGACTGTGCAGAGCGTCTGTTCCCTGTCAGGTGCAGGGAGGCGGAAGTCACAGGGCAGGGTCTTTGCCTTCAGGAGACTGCATGCAGCACAGAGATGTTGCCCATACAGTCCAGTAGCAAGCCCAGACTGGACAAGCCCAAAAGCAGTGCAGCCTCAGCAGGGCAGGATGTGTTCCTCCAGGCATGGCTCAGAAACCACCTTTCAGCCAGACCCACCTCAGCATAGAAATTTAGAAATTTGGCAGACACATTAAGGAGAGAAGTAGTGCACAAAGGGCCCCAGCAGGCTCTAGGCATAGCAGCTTACTGAGAATAAAAGGCTGGGAAGCTCCAGCCTGGCCATAAGCCTATGGGTTGGAGCAGTGGGCCTGGGCTTCCAATATTCCCGCCCTGCCAGCTGCTTCCTCCAGAGCAGTCAGAGCCTGTAGTTAGGGTCTGTGCTTTTGCTGACCTTCCACTCCCAGGAAATGTAGGGCTTGTCCGGCTGGTCACTCACTGGCCCTACAACCAGGGCACAGGCCCTGGCATAGAGGTGAGGGCAAATGAGCCTGGCAAGAGGTAAGGATGCCTGGTAGGAAGCAGCCATTGTGGGACAGGGGTGTTGCTAGGTCAGGAGGCCAAAGAACAGCATGGCTCAAGATTCTCTGGGCTGGAAGGTAAAGATGGAGATGGAAGGCCAGCCAGGTAGGCCCTGTGACCAGTCCAGGTATGAGGGACCATCAGGGGCTCTGAAGCCCCTTCAGAGGAGATGGGGAGCAGTATCCAGGCTGATGGGAGCAAGGAGGCCCTAATACAGTCAAGAAAGGAGTCGGGATACCTGTGTGCTGTGCTGAGAGGGTTCCAGGGCAGAGAGGGCTCTGGCTGGCTGGAGAGTACACAGGGCCTGGTGCCTGGACATTAAGGACCAAAGGAGATGATGTAGTAGGGGTAGACTGGTCAGGGGAAGAGGGAGCCAGGGATAAGCCAGCCTCAGTGGCACATAGCTGCAGCATGATAGACTCTGTACCTGCCCTGTGCCCCAGCCCAGCTGACCTGAGTGCATAGTCCTGCCATCTCAGTGGGTGCTCTGTCTTTCTTTGCAGCTGGTATACCCAAGCGGCTTCCAGCTCACAGACAAGGAGGTGGGTCCTGGCCTTCTTGGGAGTGGATGTCACCCAGGAGGGCATTGCCCTCACCAGGTTTTGTATGTTTCAGAAAAGCAGTATATGCTACCTGTCCTTTCCTGACTCCCACTCAGGTAGGTGACCCCAACTGTTCCCAGGGATGGACATTGGTTCAGTTGGCAGCCCCTGTGGCCCAGGCCAGGGGTATCACGGCCACTGCTCCCCACTTAACGGAGTTACCTAGATGTCAACACTACAGAGGGCAGCTGGGCTCCCCAGATTCACATGGAGAGAGGGGCCAGGAGAGTCTGATCCCTTACCCCCCTTTATAGTGGCCATCAGGAGCAGGGTCCACCTGAATGCTTTTATCCCTGGGGCACAGGTATTTGGGCAGCCTGTCTAGTGTCTGGTGCTTTGTCTCATGCAGGTTGAGCCAGTCTCCCACAGAGAATTTGAAGGTGCTTCTCTGTGCTGTTTATTCCAAAACCCTTACGTAGGGTGTGCAGGAATCAGGACAGGAGCCTACTGGGAAATGTAGGCCCATTGGGTGGCCTTTTCCCTCTGGGTCATTTATATCAGCAGATACCAGCTTTGCAGGGACTTCACCCCTGGACCCCAGTTGCAGTACCTGCAAGGGAGGCTCCCAGCCCTAACACGCGGTGGGGCTGCCCCTTCCCAGGCTGCCTCGGGGACACTCAGTTCAGCTTCCGCATGCGTCAGTGTGGAGGGCAGAGGAGCCCATGGCATGCCGATGACAGGCAGTACAACAGTGAGGCCCCTGTTTCACTGCAGGTGAGCACTGGGCTGCTCCCCAGGGGCCCTGCCAAGTTGAGGTTGGTGTAAGAAGCCCCCTCAAAGGGCTTGTGTCCCAGGTGACAGGGGAGGCTCTGGCCAGGCCCTCCTGGCAGGATCACCAACTGCTGCAGCCCCTCCTGTCCTGCAGGCACCATCCTCAATGGAGCAGCCAGATCTTCTGGGCTCTTATTGCACATCTGGCTAGGGGTCCATGTGGGTCCACAGGGTGCAGCTTAATGCACCTTCAGGGCTCCCAACCACCTGAGCCCCTCTGCTATAGGCTCACTGCAGGTATTCCCTGCAGTGCTGTGGGCCACGTTTAAGCTAAGGACCCATAAACCTAACCCAGGGAGGCCTCCACCTTGGTGGCCAGAGTGCAGGCCCATCAAAGCTTCCTGGTTCTCCAGGCTTCTGTCCTCAGCAGCCCTTGCATCTGCCTCAGGGGTTCACAGGGTGGCCTAGGAAAGCAGGGCCACACTAGCCCTATTCTCCTTCCAGAGGGAGCCAGCACACTACTTTGGCTACGTGTACTTCAGGCAGGTGAAAGACAACTCTGTGAAGAGGGGTTACTTCCAGAAGGTGAGCCACTGGGCACACAGGGGGTGCTGCTGTGAGGCAGGCAGAGGTCCTGTGCCTCCAAGAGTGTCTTTGTTTGTTTGTTTGTTTGTTTTTGAGACAGAGTCTCAAGCTGTCCCCCTGGGTAGAGTTCTGTAGCATCACAGCTCATGGCAACCTCCAACTCTTGGGCTCAAACAAGTCTCCGGCCTTCACCTCCTAAGTAGCTGGGATCACAGGCGCCGCCACAATGCCCGGCTATTTTTTGGTTGCAGCCGTCATTGTTGTTTGGCGGGCCTAGGCTGGATTCAAACCTGCCACCTTAGGTGTACGTGGCTGGCACTTTAGCTGCTTGAGCCACAGGCGTCGAGCCCCTCCAAGAGTGTCTTACCCTCCTACAGCTCCACTTGGGGACTGGTGCCCTTCCCGCCCAGCATGGTGCCTGAAGCCCTTCTGTTTCAGCTCAGGACATTCCTGCCCCTCACTGCTGATTGGAGTGGGCTTTCAGCAATGACCAGGGCTAGAACAGTTTCATCCTTGAAGCTGCTTGGCTTCTGGGGAGATCATTCCAAAAATCTTGGCCACTGTGTATTTCCCTCTGAAGGCCCTGGGTCCAGCCCCACCCTGCTGTCATTCATTGTTTCCCTGTCTAATAATTCTGCAGTCTGAGTTGGGCCGTGCCTGGAGCAGTGTCTGTTCTGAGGGGTTGGTGGGACACGCTGGCCTATTGAGGTCAGCTTAGCTCCAGGGGTTCACTAGGCTCCCAAGTGGTGGGGTGGTGTCTAGAGCCAGGCATCCTCTGATCAGCTCTGTGGTCCTGCAGTCTCTGGTGCTGGTGTCCCGTCTGCCCTTTGTCCGACTCTTCCAGGCACTGCTGAGCCTGATGGCCCCCGAGTACTTTGACAAGCTGGTGCCCTGCCTGGAAGCTGGTGAGTGGCCATCAGTATGGCAGGGTGGTCTCACCATCTATATGCGGCCCTGGGCTTAGCAGGCAGTTTCTCCTTGAGGAAGGCTCTTGATGCTGGCCACTTGTGTCCACAGTTTGCAATGAGATTGACCAGTGGCCGGCCCCTGTGCCTGGACGGACCCTGAACCTACCTGTCATGGGAGTTGTCATCCAGGTGAGGGCCAGGTGGCTAGGGAGTGAGTGCTGCAGGTACACTGAGATACCCCCTGCCTCTGGCAGCTGCTCCCTTCCTCCCCAGGTGCGCATTCCATCCAGGGTGGACAAGCCTGACTCCAGTCCTCCCCAACAGCTTGACCAGGAGATGCATTACCAGGAGGTGGGAGCCTAGGTGGGGGCTGAGGGCAAGGGGAGTGAGCTCTACCTGCTCACTCTGGGGCTGGATGATACCTCATGTACAAGGTGGCCAAAGCCAGGTGAGGAACAGCTATATTTCAGTGCAGGACGGGGGCTCCCTCTACCTATGAGGGGAGGTGTATAGAGCAAGGGCCATGGGGCTGTCATTGAGCAGTTGAGAGATGCTGCTTGGGGCCTGAGGGATACCAGTCTCAGTCTAGGTCCTGACCCCTGCTCCTTTCCCTCAGAACCTGCTGCCAGCCCCAGTGGTCCTCACTAGTGTCTATGAGCTAGACCTGTTCAGGTGAGCACTGTATGATGCCTGCTGCTTTGGGGGAGTCCACCATGTATTTGTGTTGCATGCATGTGTGTACATGTGTGGGGTATATGCATGCATGTGTGTGGCCAGTGCAGGGCAGGGTTGCCTGATTAAGGAGCCCTTGGGACAGTTCTGCAAGGGAGAATTATGCAGAGGAGAAAACCAAGCCCAAGTGTCTGTACTCAGAGGAAGGAAGGCAAGTAGCAGGGAAAGGCTGTTGGGAGACATTCAAGCCTGAGGCTGTCCTCCTTTGCTTCTCTGGCTAAGTCTTTGAGGGAATTTGGGCTTTGCAATAGTCTTGCTCCAAGCTGGACCCAGCAGGAGCCAGGGCTGCAAGCATGAGGCTGAGGGCCCAGGGTGACAGCAGGGTCTAGATGTAGTGCCCTGCCAGGATGGGCGGCCCCTTCCTTGGCTTGGGATCCTCTCCCAAGGCCAGACACAGCACAGATGAACCATCAGCATGGGGTGGCCATAGTGGCCTGAGATATACTCTCGTGTCTTCAGATGCCCTAAGCACCATCTTCCTGTGGGCCTTGTGGTCACCAGAATGGGGCCCAGCATAGCCTGTGCTGGAGGGCCAGGGCTGGAGGTGGTGGACTGAGGGGAATGGGCCAAATACACAGGCTCCCCTTAGTATCCCACCTGACTCCCACCTGACCTCCCCAACTGCCCCTGCTGGTGCCAGGTGCTTCCGGCCTGTGCTGACCCATGTACAGACGTTGTGGGAGCTTATGCTCCTCGGAGAGCCCCTCGTGGTCTTGGCACCCTCGCCCGATGTGTCCTCAGAGATGGTGCTGGCCCTGACAAGGTACCACCTTGCCCAAGTCCCAGGCCGGGGTGTTGGGCCATCATATATGCCCAGCTGCTTCCTTACCTGTGCCCTGCCACCCACACCTGCAGCTGTCTGCAGCCCCTAAAGTTCTGCTGCGACTTCCGTCCCTACTTTACCATCCACGACAGCGAGTTCAAGGAGTTCACAACACGCACACAAGCCCCGTAAGTGCCCATCCTCCCCTCTGCCTGTGCCCCCTCTCTGCCTTTACTGGGCCTCTGTCTCTGCCTCTTCTTTTCTCTCTTCATCTAGACCAAATGTGGTCCTGGGAGTCACAAACCCTTTCTTTATCAAAACACTTCAGCATTGGCCCCACATCCTCCGGGTTGGGGAGCCCAAGATGTCAGGTGAGGGTCCTCAGGAGGTGCTGGTGGGGCCTCTGAAGGCTCAGGCAGTGTGGGGTGTCTGCAAGGGCTCAGCCTGTGGGTGTGGCAGAGCCACAGGTACTGAGGCCTGGCCATTGGGCCTGTCTCGCAGGGGACCTTCCTAAGCAGGTCAAACTGAAAAAGCCTTCAAGGTTGAAGACCCTTGACACCAAGCCAGGTCTGTGCTCCCTCGGGCTAGAGGCCCCTCCTACTATGGATGGGGCTGTCTTGCACTGGCAGGGTTCCTAGACAGGATAGCCAGGCTTCCCAACTGCTCCTCTTCTTCTAGAACTCTGGCAGCAGAACTGAGTCCTTGGTGGGGGGAACTCTTCTCTTTGTCAGAGAGTCTTGCTCGGGTTGGGGCTGGAGTGGGTGAGGTGTGCAGGTGCAGGGGAACAGGCTGCAGGCAGTACACCCTCTCCTCACCCATCTGTGGGACCTTGGGAATGTGGGAAGGCATCTGGTGCTCTGTCCTCCCACCAGGCCTCTACACCTCTTACACAGCCCACCTCCACCGGGACAAGGCTCTACTTAAACGGCTATTCAAGGTGCAGTCCTAGTGTGGGCGGAAGCTGGGGACATGGGGTACTGGGTGGTGTGAAGGCTGCCTTGGGCTCAGTCTCCAGCCTCCCTGCAGGGTGTGCAGAAGAAGCGGTCTTCAGATGCACAGAGTGTGCTGCTGAGGCGGTACCTTCTGGAGCTCACACATAGCTTCATCATCCCCCTGGTGAGGCCTGGGCCCAGGGGATGGTGGGGGCACAGTGGGGCTGTGGCACCAGGCTCACTCTTGCTTCCCTCTAGGAGCACTACATGGCCAGCCTCATGCCCCTGCAGAAGAGCATCTCACCCTGGAAGGTGGGGTTCTAGGTGGGGGGCATGGGAGGGTAGATTCCCATCCCCATCTCAGAGGAGGGAAGACTGGGGACAGGTGTCCCCATGGAGCAGAGGGACTAGAGGCTACAGGTGTACAGGAGCCACCACTACGGCCCAAGACCATCATGCACCACAGGTCACAAAGTGTGCAAAACAGCAGCCCAAGGGAAGGGATCTGATAGGACCCTTGGAGAGATCATCCTGGGATCTGCCCTAGGCAGTAGTGGCTGGGAGGTCTTCAGACACGGTGAAGAGTGTGTCTGGAGTTGAGGCCCCACCTAGCTAAGGTGCAATGCTTGTGAAGCTGTGTCCCCCAAGTGCTGGCTCCCCTGGCCCGTCTCAGACCCCCCCCCAGATCCGCCCCTTCAGCCAGGACGACTTCCTACGCAGCCTGGAGCATGCAGGGCCCCAGCTCACCTGCATCCTCAAGGGCGACTGGCTGGGCCTCTACAGGTAGGTGGACAGTAGGTGCGGGATGTCCATGCCCACATGGCCTACAGGGTCAGCCCCATAGCCTCTGCCTCTTGACACCCACAGGCAGTTTTTCAAGTCCCCTCATTTTGATGGCTGGTACCGGCAGCGGCATAGAGACATGACCCAGAAGCTAGAGGCACTGCACCTTGAGGCTATTTGTGAGGCGGTGAGGGGGGCTGGAGGTAGGGGACTGGGCCTAGCCCCGGGATAGGGCTAGGGGCCTCAGTGACTGAGGACCTGCTCTTGTCCCTGACAGAACATTGAGAGCTGGATGAGGGACAAGTCCGAGGTAGAGGTCGTGGACCTGGTCCTGAAACTTCGGGAGAAACTGGTGAGATGCTTCCCACCCAGCCACCAGCCTGGCCAGGAGGTGTGCCTGTCTTGACTGTTGCTGCCCCCTCAGGTGCGTGCACAGAGCCACCAGCTCCCTGTGAAAGAGGCGACACTGCAGCAGGCTCAGCTGTACATAGAGATGGTCATCCGCTCCCTGCCCAAGGACCTGCAGGCCGTCCTATGCCCTCCCTAGGACAGGGCTGAGGTCTGGCTGAGCCTCCCTCCCCCAGTGGTGGTGGCCCCTGGCCAAGCACAAGACCCTAGACCTTGGCCCTCAGCCCAGGCTCCAGTTTCCCTCCCTGTACTACCATTGTCCCAGCAGTAAATGTGACATTTGGAACCATAGCCTGGCCCCTGGCTACTGGGGGATTATGAGTTGGCAGAGACTCCCCCACCTCCTGGTGCCCATCTGCCCAGGCCTTATATGTTGTGTTTGATGTATCCTGCTGGGGCAGGCTGCTGGCCTAGGACAGAGGGAGGCAGCTGACAGGAAGGCCCCTCACACAGTCCACTGCCCATCTTTTCTAGGGATGGGAGGGATATCTTGCCCGTGGTCATTGACATGAGAGGAAGAGAAGCTGCTCTGCACTGGGAGGGACTCTGCCTACCACCCATGCTGCCCCTCTGGGCCCTCTGCTTGCCCAGGGCTGTGGTTTGTTGGGGGTGGGGGGTGGGCAGGGGCAATGTGGGTCCAGCACCCCTGTTGGCCCTTGGAGCGTCCACAGCATTGTCTTGATTCCCACTCCCAAGACACCCCACCTGGCACCAACCCCATAGATCCCACCCTGGGTCTGGACAGGCTCTCTAGTGATCCTCTTGTTCTATCCACTCACCTGCAGCCTGATCCTGGCTCCAGGAGTCTCAAGATGCTGCTAAGTTCCTTAGTGAGAGATGAGAGTCCCTAAAAGGTGCTGCATCTAGATCATATGCTCCCCCTTGTGTGACACCTCCAAGCATTAAACCTAGCAAGGTAGAGAGCTATCATCACTCAGCATATGGTGACAGCATTGTCAGGGCCTATGGGAGGATAGACATTCAGGTGTGGACCCAGAGCTGCAGCCAGGCACCAGCACAGCATCACCCACCGTATGCCTGTGGGTAAAGTTGGCCACTCAGACTCTCAGATTCCTCATCTGAAAGAACAGGCCCATGTGGATGCCTGGCAGGACAGCTGCTGGGAGGGCCATGGAGACTGGGCTCTCCAAGTCCTGGGTAGGGTGCTGCCCATCTCCCTATTCCTGGGCCCTTGGTGGGGTGAGCTTGCCCAGGGCTGGGGGAGGGGCTTTTCCTTTTTTTCTGAAGCTCCCACCCAGTCCATAGACGGAACTCTCCTCAGTGGGGCTCTGGCAGGTGTCATGGGTTTGTTAGTTCTCACTGATCCTCCTTAGACCACAACCTCTAGTGAGGCAGGGTAAATCCAGTGCTTGCTGACAACATCTCACACAGGGTTTGGCTGAGTACTGGACAGAGGGGCCAGCTGTCCATATGTGCCAGGCACTGTTCTTGGGACTTTGTACACGTGGCCTTGTCCACCCTGACCATGGCCCAGAGCAGCCTGTCACTGTCCCCATCACAGGCCCAGGAGAGTGATGGAGGGAGGCGGGTGGGTGTGGTTAACTTGTTGTTGGAAAAGGGCAAGCAAACCCACCCAGTGGTGGCTGGGCCTGAGCTCCCCTGGGACCTGCGTGGCAAGAGGTGGAAGCTGCTCATGATTGTGACTCTACCCTGAGGAGCCTGCCCCAGAGTGACTGTAGTATGTGCTTTCCTATGTTATTGGTTCCTCACCTGGCTTTCTGCAGTGGCAGCAGCAGGGGCCTGGGTCCCTAAGCTACAGGGACAGGGCTGCAGGCTGACCTGGCCACTATTGGTCCAAGAATGCATAACCAGGTTTCCCTGGACTCCCATCTTACCTAGAGGACTCTGGCAGGCATGGCTGGCATTCCCCACAGCAGACGCATCCTCCATACCATTGGGAGTAGGAGTAGGGGAGGACAACTAGCAGCATTCCAGGGCTGAGGGGCAGAAGCCAAAAGGAGCTTCTTCCTGAGGGCCTGGGAAGGCCTGACGGGGCCTGTGCTAAAGAAGCAGGATGAGTGTCACAGCCCAGAGTAGATGGGGACCTGCTGGCTCCAACCTTCAGATTGCCCCTTGCTGCCCCAGGGTCAGGTCAGCTCTGTGTAAGGAGTGTCTGGGGCTGGGTCCTGCCCGCCCCCAGGCCAGGGGCAGGCAGTAAAGAGGGAGGAAGGGCCATAGTGGGGGGAGGTGTTTGCTGTGGGATGGGGGGCTCAGCCTTGGGAAGAAGAGAGGGCTGGGGCAGGCCTGGGATGGGGCCAGGGAGGATTTGGGCTGGGGATGAAGTTGCAAGTGGGGGCCTGCTTCAAGGGCAGGAAGGGCAGCTCCTCTCCCTCCAGCTTCCTGCCTTCTATTTAAAGGTTCCTTTTCAGTCTGGAATAGTGGCCTTCCCACATTTTTTGGTTTATTAAAGTGTCCTTTTGTAACACAGTGTCTGTTACTTCCTTTTTTTTTTTTAAATAAAAGTAGGCAACCCTATCAGACTGTAGTAACTGAAATCCTCTGCTTGGAGGGCTGTGTTTCAGGCCTCAGTGAGGAGGTGTGGGTTGGAAGAACTAACAAGTGACTGATCAGATTCTGCAATGCCTTCATTGTCTGGCTAGGGTAGTTCTTGAGGCTTGGGGGGCAGGTCCCAGGGCAGGGTGGGGGGAGAGCAGAGGAGATGCCTACAGTGAGGATAGGAGAAAGTGGACATGTCTGCAAGGAGGGGGCAAGTCTGGGTGGAAGTTGGGTCCTCAGGGAGGGAACATCTCTGTTGGGTGAGGACTAGAGTTTGGGGAATGGTCCTACTTCTCAACTCAGAACCAAGGCATGAGGAGGGCTGGGAGGCCAGAAGTGGGACCAGCTCAAACCTAGTAATTGGAACCCCAGGAAATGATGGTTCCGCAGAAGATCTGCTGGGGTCCAGAAAGGCCTATACTTACTGGGGGCCAGGGACATGCCATCAGGGCATTGTCAGTTGCCCTCTAACTTCAGGAGGTTTGGATGCTGAGACTCCTGGAAAAGAGTCAAAAGCCAGCCGCCCACACCCCCAAAACAGCAGAGGTGTGGCCAGTCTGCCCCTAGTCTGGGGGCAAGGGTCCAGTGCCCTGTCCGTTGCAGAACTTGGGGACCCTGGAGGACTTTCCTCTGGCCTGCAGAAACTTTCTCAAGAGCCCAGAGCTTCCCTTCCTCACCCCAGGGGCCGGGGCCGGGGTTGGGGGGCGGGGAGAAGGTGCTCCTGGGGTGGTGTCCAACCAAGCCAAGAGGTACTCTGTGGGCGCCAGTAACTCTTGGACAGCAGAGAGGTGGGCAGGGCGCTGCTGCTGGGAACCAGGGTCTGAACTGGGGCCGAGTTTATCCGCGTTGTGACTCGCCTAGGTGGCCACTGAGCCAGGAGAGGTTGGGGACTCAGGGAATGCCGGCCGGGCCCTCCTCTCCCCGTCCTCCTCCCCCGCTATAGTCCTCTCCGCCCTCCTCTCCGCTCCCCTGTCGGGGGCGGGGCTGGCAGCTCCCGCGCACTCCGGCCCCTCCTCGGCCACACAAAGGCCGGTATCCATGGCAGCAGCGCGAGCCGGAGCGCAGCGCCGATTGCGGCCCAGGCGCCATCGAGCCTTGGCCGAGGACGCGCAGGTACGGAGCTTGGGGGATAGGGTGTGGGGGCGTCGCGCTGGTGGGGGCCTCACCGTCGGCGCTGCCCCGCCCCGGCCTGCCGCGCCGGTCTTGGGGACTTGCAGCGGCTGCGGCTCCGTGGAGGACTCTGCCGGCGCGTCCGGCTGGGCCGGGCCGCTGCCGCCCCACGCTCCTCCCTTGAGCTGGCGAGTCTGCGGCGACCGGGGTCAGGGAGACGGCTTGGCAGGGCTGGGTGCCGCGTCTCTCTGGGGTTGCGTGCGATCCAGACCCACCCTCCTCGCCCATGGCCCACATTTCTTCAGCCAACGAGACCCTCGTTGTGCAAGACCTCTGGGGTCCCCAGCCTCAGGCTAAGCCAGCACAGATGCTGGCCTAGCCAAGGCTTTCCTCAGGGGGCCGGACACTGTCGGATGTGAGCAGTGCCCACACCCCCTGGGGCAATGTTCTTGATGGTGGGGAACCAGCACTCAGGTCCTGGTGAAGCCTTATGGTCTCCTCCGAAGTCCTGTGTGATCATTGGTGTTACTTGGGTGGGCACCCTGAAACCCAAAAAGTCTTAGAACTTGGGGGTGGGTGTCAAGGAGGTGCTCAGTGCTTGGACCGGACACCTCCACATGCCTCCTCCTGCAGGAAGTTGTCCTGGATGGGCCCTTCTGCCCCTCTTGGTCAGGCTATTTGGCAGAATTTGGGGTCCTGCCTTCCCTGTCTGGAAGTCTCAGCTCCTCCTCTGTGAGCTTCCTGCCACATCATTTGACTCGTCTCCTCAGCTTTTTGGAAAAGTAAAAGTCTGTGCCCACTGTGGCCTGTGGCAGAGATCAGGACTGGGGTGAGGCTGGGCCTCAAAGCCAGTCTAAGGTTCCAGAGCCTGGAGGGCTCTGGGGGCCCTTCCCCTGACTGCGGAGGAGTGCCTCCTTCTCATTTCGGCTCTTGTGCCATGAAGCACAGCAAGTCTAGGGGCTTTACAGTTGAGCCTCTGCAGGGCTGGAGGGTACAGCTGCCCAGAGTGGGGGCTCTGGGCCTGACTCTACCCAGAAATTGCCCTGAAAGGGAGAGAGCTAAACAACCAGTGGATGGGGGCTCTCCTACCTCCACCCTAAGGTGAGGGTCTCTAAGAGGTTAGGATTATCACCAAAATTCCCAAAGAAAACAGGAGCCCTGGGGACCCCACCCTCAACCCCCACACCTCTGGAGGGCCCCTCCCCCAGCTGAGGGGTGGGCGAGGCCTGAGGTCTGGCCAGGGGTTCCTTGCCCCAGTAAAGGAGGGAAGTTATTGAGAAAAACAAGGGTTTGGAATGTGAGTTCCCCCTCCCCCGCCGGCTGCCTGCCAAGAAGGAATTATTTTGGATTATCCAGCCGTGTCCGAAGAGGGAGAGGGATCCACTTCCGGGGCCGTGAGTTGAGAGCCCCAGGAGGGAGGGACAGGCAAGTCCAGGCAACTCCACCACCTCCTGAGGCAGCGGCTGCTCAGACCGGTTGGGGGTGGGGCTGGGTGGGAGGGGATGCGTCACCTTTGAGTTGGCAGAGGCCCCAGAGTTGGCCCCAGCAGGCCCTGCCAAGCCTGGAGTGGGCCCAACCCCTCTAAAAGAGGCTACTGGACAGGCCACTGGACAGGAGGAGCTCTGGACCCAATCAGCCCCCCTCCCCTTACTCCTAGAAGCCCTGCAGCATGTCCTCAAGGGCCTCTAAGGCCACTGTCAGACCCAAGGTCAAGGATATACCCTGGTCTGGCCTATCTCTCCTTTCTCTCTCTCTCTCTCTCTCTCTCCCCCACACACACACACACACACCCCTCAGCCTATTGAGTGAGGAGAGCTAAGCAGTCAGGAGATGAGTCTGGCTGACTGGGGAGGGGCTCTAGGGTCTCTCTTGGGCTGAACCCAACTGACTCACTGACCAGGTAACTAAAGGACACCACCCCAAGTCAGATGCTCAGATGTGGTGTCTGTCAGCCTGTCCTACAGCTAGGGAGACTGAAGCCAGGGATAAGTCCCTCTTCTGGGACACTATCAGGCTTGTCCCCTGAATCCAGGCCGGCAACCGCCTGAGACCATGTGCTCAGCAGCCTGTATGGGGACCATATCAGGGAGGCAGAGCTGCACCTGGGACCCAAGTGCGGGAAGCCAGGGGCTTGGCCCCAGCCCAGGCCAGTGGAGCAGAAGAGATTGGATTGAAAGGTGCTGGGGTGGACTGGTAGCCTGGGGAGAGGTCCATATGGCACTTGTCCTGCCACTTATCTCATTCCTGAATCCAGGAGCCGGGGTTGATGATCCCCCAGGGTGTTGGGTGTAGGCAGGGGGTGCACTGTTATCCCTTTCCAAGACAGCCAGGCTGCTCTGGAGCCCAGGCCCTGGGCATCAGAGGACTTTCCTCCTCAGAGCAGGATATAATCCCTCCTGCTGCAGCTAGACCTCTGCCTCAGCTGTGAGGTATTAGGGAGTAGTTTCTCTTCCTGTTGAGGCCTCCTGTACCCAGAGCCTGCCCTGGAATTGGGTGTAGGACAAGGTGGTGAGCTGATCAAAACTTGAATCTAGTCCTGGCCAGTGAGGGCACCCTTCTGTGCAGGCTCACTGGGGGCTGTCTGGGCCAAGTCCCTCCCCTGGGGGTAGTGGCTGTTTGCCTTTAGGGTGGGGCCATGGGTGAGGTAGGGCTGGGTGTCTGACTAATTACCAGCTGAGAAGGGTGGGTCAGTGGCTGTATTGGCTGGGGGATGCTGGCTGTAATGGGAGGAGCTTGGAGGCAGCTGCCCCTCGCTGCCCCCCTCATTCCTGGCTCTCTGGTTCCTCTATCTTCTTCCCTTCTGTAGTTTCACATCCCCCAACACAGGCTCCTGCTTCTCCTTGCCCCTAAGGTTGTGAAGACCCCAGCCCCTTTCTGCTGCCCAGGGAAGGACTCTGCCCCATACTAGGCTCTCCCAGCCACAGGTGTGGTCCTAAGTTCCTACTCAAGCAGAGCGTGTAAAGGGACTGGCTGGGTCCCTGCCATCCTGTCCCCGGTGCTGGCACCCACCCTAACGAGTCTTCCTTACTCTGTGGAATTCACTAGCCTATGACAGTGATTGGACTCAGACCCCGGATGGAGCCAGAGTGGCCATGGTTGGCAAAGGTGAAGTTACCTGCAAGTCTGCCCCACCCCACAGCCATGTCTGTGTCATGCAGAGAAGCCCAGGCTGGGCCTTGGAGCTGGGGTTCTGTTTCCCATCTCTCTGGCCTCACGTCTGTGGCTCAGGCACCCCTCCTGCTGCCCCCTGGATTGGCCAATTTCACACCTGAGCTGCTTGTTGTCCTGGTTCATCAGGCAAGGGGCAGTGCTCAACTTGAGCCAGGAGCATAGGTTTCTGGGGACAGGGCAAGGCTCAGTGCCTGCACCATCTCTTCCTCAGACCCCCTCATAGCTTCTGAAACCCAGTAGTTCCCCATTCTGTTGCCAGATGAGCCTAGGCACAGGGCCTTGGAGTGGTAGAGGGAGGCTCTGTGAGTACAACCTGGATTCTGACCCCAGGTCTGCCATCAGCCCAGCAACCTATCCGAGGGCATATCAGGTCACCTCAGGGTGCAGGAACCACAGGCCCCTCAGGCACAGCTGCCACAGTTCCCATGTGGGCTTCTGCTCAGATCTCTGTGCTCAGTGCTGTTCTGCTGGGCCCCTTCCTCAGCAAAAGCAAGGCTTGATGTCAGCCCTTGGCACAGCCCCCAGGGACCAGGCAGGGTGTCTGACCCTGTGGCTGGGACATTCTGGTCTGGGGCTCTGTGCAGGGCTGAACTCTTTTTAGGTGGCCCCCCAGATGCTGGGTCTTGGCTCTAGAATGCCAAGCCAAGATG